GCATTGTGGGTAAAAAGCAGACGTGTCCTTACTGCAATGAGAAGGTTGACTTGAAGAGGATGATGAACAACCCGTATCCTTTTGCTTCCTTTTGCTGTCCATTACGGGCTGACAATTGAAGTATTGCTGGGGGGTTTTGTTATATGATGTTTTTTTTTTTTTTTTTAAAGAAAAGATAACGTTGAATTAATGAACAAAAAAGTAGAAACTTCTTAAGATCTTCATAGAAAGTGATTTCTAAGTCATATCAAAATAACTAAAGAAGCATAAACTATTAACATTGTCCTTGTAACATTCAACATAATGTGCTTTTACTTATTTGATTTCACTGTTCTTTATCAGTACAGTGCACCCCTGAAATTTGTCTAGAAAACATGATTTTTGTCCTTAATTCCTCAATTTCCAGCTGGGAGAAGACGCATGTCCTTTACGGGCAGCTTCTCGACTGGCTCAGATATTTGGTTGCTTGGCAACCCATCATCATTGGTATCGTTCACGGCATTAATTTCTCCCTGGGCCTCGAGTAAAGCCCCGAGGAACACCGCCATAAGTACGACTGGAGTCGAGTTACACTCAGGACACGTGTGATAGCAAACTGTCACAGTAGGCGCTACAAGGAACCGAATGCAGCTGCTTTCAAAGTTTTTCACTTCGTGTTCTCGGACTAAACTCTCACATGGTTTACTGCAGAGTAAACGGAAAGCGTCAGAGTCTCAACACGACCCCAAAACTGCTGCCAACCCAAACAGAGTGATTGGAGCACAGAGCCAGTATTTTGACAGATCAATCTAGTTTGGTCTGGAAGTGTTGCTGTCATGCATGCCATTTCTGTTTACCTGAAAGATGCTTTACTTTGTTCTGTCTTACAGATTTTCGTGTTTAATTTGCACACTCCCCCTTTTTTTGTTTCTTCTTTTTTTTTTTTTTTAATAAAACATTTCTCTTTCTCATTAGACTTTATCTGTATTGGATTGCTTATAATAAGGACAGCTCTGGGTAACATTTGGACACATTGATTAATTGTAACATGACAGTATTTGACAGTGCCAATGCAAATTACTGAAGTACGCTGTGTACTATGTGCAATGTTGATTCTGTTTGTTATGCTGAACTGTGGTAGAAATGAAAGAATACGTCTCCTACAGCGTTGATAAAACGCAAAGGTCCGGTGTGACTCTCGGCAGCAATTTGTTGCACAGTTTTCATAGAATTCATAAGGTGTTGTAATTTATCCTGCCATGTTAATGAAAGTGAAAATAAATTTGGTCTTATGCACTAGCTCTCTGGCATATTTGATCATGTGAATGCCATTCCAAGTTTAAACAGGTCTCATCAGGTGTTAGACTTGTAATAAGTGAATCATGTTTATCAAAGTCACAGTTCAGGTTTGATGAAAAATAGTTTTCCCTTGACTGTGCAGCCACAGTCGGATCACTCTGAATTCTCAGCCTGGATTTATGACATGGTCTTCTGGTTGTTTCATGCCTCTATAGTCACAAAGTGCACACTTAAATGTTGGGATTTCTATCATGCTTTCACCTAATGTTGCTCTTGTTGTGAGAGGATGTGATAAAAATCACCTCAGAGCTTATTGTGTCCTCCAGGTTCTCTTCTAGTGAGGCCCATTATAAACGGTTTCCAAATTTCAGCTGAAAATCTGAAGAATAGGATCCCTTTCCTGCAGCCGTGTCCATATAAATATCTCCAGGATCATGAAAAATTTGTATGTGGTCCAGCTATATAACACACATTGCACTGGCACATTCAAAATATCCTATTTTTTTTCTAGTTAAACTTTGCCACACACAAACTACTTTATATTATATATTTGTTTACTTGGAGCGGTGATACTGTTTCCATCAATCACCTGTAAAACCAACTTAAAAGTTGTTTTCTTGGATTCAGGATTTTCATATTAACGAAAGATTGTGGTTACTGAAAGAAAACCTTTTTTTTTTTTTTTTTTTTTTTTTTTTTTTTTTATGTTGTCATGGAAAGGAGTATGTTAATGCTGGTGGTAGGGCTTGGAGGTTTGAGTGTTTCACTTGCATTTAATAGTCTTTGGTTTGGCCTGTAAACTGAGTTTAGGAGTACATGTGAATAAAAACTATTACTAGATTCAGCACGTGGCACCTCGACAGCCCTCAGTTGGATAATGTTCACAGATTGGGTTTCAAATCAGTTTTTAATAAGTAAACATTATCATAAACATTAAAGTAAATTTCCCTACTATTTACTATAAAGTGTTACCCAGTCCAGTCTAAATTGTTGTTGTGTACACATTACACTGTTTACATTTAATGTACTCTTTTGTTTTTGAAAATAATTTGAGTGTCTGTTGTTGTAATTTATATGAAGCTGAAGTTGGTAAATGGTTAATTTAATGTAGCAGTAGGTGTCAACGTGTCACGTGTGTGTTTATGAATGAATGGACTTATGAAGCAAAACCTCCATGAACGAGCAGAACAGGGTCATTTAAATGCCCAGTTCCAGTCTGACACATAACCACAGTCACTCCATTTGTTTGGAGGTTAATTCAGAACATTAATGCTTACTGAACAGGAACACAGTTACAAATTTGAGTTATTTAAGAATGACCTGTCGATTCCACATGTAATCACAACGTAGAAACAAAGATATTACCATTGGTTTATATTTGCATAAAGGTATAGATTCTGCTTTTATTCAGCACAAATGTATATAAATACAGGTGCCAGTGCCAGTGAATATAAAGCTTGATGAGATGTAAGGTGCATTAAACTCAGAACTAAAATGAATCAAGTGACCAAGTGCCAAAGACTGTAGTTCCTTTAATGGCCATTTAAGGCTCTACAAACGAGGCAGTCCTCATAGTCTGCCTGCCCACAGATGCTAATCTACAGTGGCCCTGAGTCAAACACACTGCAACTTCGGTTGAGTTGCATTGTGTTTTATTTAACTGAAGTGTTTTTGAGGAGATGATAATGTGATGGAACAGCTGCGGAAGGGACCGGCTAGCAGTAAATAGCTAATGGTGAATATTTATCTACAGTATTATATGAATATGATTAAAAAGCACATTACAAGCATAATTTCCTCCCTCACAACACTGATGAACCCTTTGCTTCTTGCATCTCTTTGTGCAGTTCTTTGCATACTTTGGTTTCTGGCACTCCCACAGCTGTTTTGTCACCTTAATGTCTCCCCAAAAAACACTCCTATTTTGTGTTGCCTGTTGATTTGGGGTTTTTTTTTTTTTTTTTTTTTTTTTTTTTGTTTTTTTTTTTTCTTCTATTGTGTTTTGTGTGCTTCCGGAGTATTTTTCTGTTTGCGGGTGCTTTCTTAAGTTGCATTGTGTTTGACCTCTCAGGCTCACCATACTTATCAGATAAAGCCAGTCTATGAGAATGTGTAAGGAACCGTAGGGACAGGGTCCCACTCTTATGTTTAAAATGGAATTTGTTTCAGTAACAGTGATGACCTGTAAACATTAACAGTTTGCACATGCGTCAGAAACAAAGCTTTTCTTTGCAAAGTCAAACTGCTCTCTTATCACGACTACTGCTGATGACTTTGTATTAATTAAGTAATAAAAACAACAAAAGGTGGTTAAAATGATGGAAATTTATTTTTTTATTGGACATGTGGTTTCATAAAGAAAATTCTGTTGCATGTTTGAAATATTGAATATTAATGTCTGAAGGGTCATTCCTGTTGGCATAATTAAGATTTATATAGTTCATTTACTAAATAAATGTGTGTTGGGCAGCTTTTTCATTGTAGTAAATGCTGTTTATTGGTAATGTGCTTAGAAAAATCGGACCGTAGCTGACTCTCACAGTTTCACCTAAGAGCTTTTGAGATTATTTCCATGTTAAGGACTTGGATAAGTGTTTATGAACTTGCACTCGTGAGGGCCATTGTCATCAGTGAGCAAGACTAGCTAACGTTAGCTTGGAAATAGAGAAAGTTAAAAAGAGCAGTTAATAATTTGCTTTCTTACCTGTTTACCTTTGCTCACTTATGAGAATTTTCATGATTGCGTTTAAATGAAAATGGAAAACCCTCCTGATTACTCACCTGTGGTGATGCATTTAATATCTTAAAAAACAACCCTTTATTCACATTCTAAAAGTACACATTTTAAAGCTTATAGTAAATGCTTCTCACTTTTAATAACTCCTCTGAGTCATTGCCCATGCCAGATAGCGAACCCCTGGTCGTGTGAAGTCCATATTTCAGTGCCTCATAAATGTCCTTTTTCAAGATAAAGTGGTCTTTTATTGTTGCTATAAAAAGCAAACCTTTGCAATAAACTTGCCGTTTGATCAGTATCTTGATGAATAAGTCTTTTGTATTTTTGTTGAATACATGTGACTAGAGACTGATGAAACCCACCAATGTGCTTCCTTCTGCTATTAATATATTTTTTTCTTTTTTTAGTGTAAAGTTTCATCAGGCTTACTCATCTTGGCACTCTCTAAATTTTAATTACTATACTTTTGTTCATTTTAGTTAATGTACTTTTAATTTGTATCATATTTGCTAAATCTAGCATTTACAATAACATTTGCTTCAAAATCTATTGTAATTTAAAGTCACGAAAAACATGTATCAAATTTAATACACTAGGACAGCGGTCAGCAACCTTTAACACCCAAAGAGCAATTTGGACCCGGTTTCCACGCAAAATGAAAACACTGGGAGCCACAAATACTTTTTGACATCTAAAATGAAGATAATACTGTATATATGTCACGGTTCGCTTGAGGACTCACACGCAGGACTCAGAGGCA